TCCTACCTTATAAGTTATGGAAAAGTAACACGAAATCTCATGAGTTTCATAGCGTACCGCTTTTTAGTGTAGGGGAAGAATCGGAGGATCTGTAAAAACTCAATGTATAGTTAAATTCATTATTTTCTTCGAAATTATATGTGAGTGTCACAAATTACTGAAATAATGCAGTATCTCAGCAACAATAGTTTAATAGCGCGAACTCTATGCAAGATATTCATAGTTCATGGGACTGCATGTAATATATTGTCTGGAATCTAAAACAATTCGATACTTTACTGGCTAAAATAACGTTGGCCATTCTACTTGACTTGACTTTTTCAAAATAAAATTTGAGATGAAGTACCATCTCTACTTCTCTTTATGCGTCATGTCAAGTTATATCCTAATCTCTTTTTTATTTTTTTTATTTTTCATATAGTACACATTAGTGACGTTACTAACATCATGACTAAATGTCGGTTACAAGCAACTTAACTCGATGGGCTTTATAAATATTTGGAGAAACACAATTAAAGAGAGCATCTATCAATTGAGTATAAAAATGAGACGCAGCATCAGTATTTTTATTTATCTAAATGTTAGTCATGACCTCAACGATTATTTTTTCTTTTGGTTTCATTTTCCTCAGGTAAAGAATATTTTACTTACATTTTTCTTGTAAGACATTGAATGATTTTATATTTTAGCTTAATAGGTTTATATTCTATATAATTGCATGTATTGATTAAATATGTTATTTAACAGTTAACGTGAATAATCAAACATGTCATGGTATGCGTCAATGTGATCGATGCTCATCCAATAGTGCATGTGGATGTTTACATTTATCATTTGCTGATGATGTTGGTATCTGTGCTCTTCTCGGTGTAAGTTGTTCTAGACTTAGTCGTTGTCAGTCACCACATGATACTTGTGAACAAGCGGATCACATATGTGTACGTCATAATCAATGTGATTCACGTCCACTTTGTTATCCATTATCAATGACTAATCAAAGATTATGTCCATCCATTACAAGTAAGATAGATTTAATGGTAAAAGTTGATTTTGAATGACTTCGAGTTATTTGAGATAACCTTTATTGATTAAGAGGTTGAATTTTAGTTGATTTCAATCATGTGTTTATCTTCAACTAAATACAAAGAAAAGCTTAACTAAGAAAAATCGCCACTTCTTTCAATAATAGTTCCTTTGAGTTGTAAAACCTATCGAAAGTATTATAAAATCGTCTATATTGAAAATTATTTGGAATACAAAATTGGTCAACATCACAATTGTTGCTTTTTTTCTTGATGCTTATTCAATTTTGAGCAGATCTGAACGATATATTATCTGCACACAGCGTCAGTATTAGAATCAAGAGGATAACCAGTTTGACGATATCAAAAATCAAGTTCCCCGAACAAATCAATATAATTTAATAGTCGACTTTATGTAAAATCAATGACTTCTACCATTATGCTTCATTCTTTTCATTATATTCAATAATAATCAGGCGATATAAATTGAGAATAATATTCAGAGTAGTCTCTTTGGGGACTAACACGCGAAACACATGAATTCTTTAGCCTCGTTATACTACTACTAAATACGTAAAGTGAAAATTTTCTAGCAGACAATTTGTATTTTTTTTGTTGATTTTTCTCTACAATACTCTCTCCC